ACTACTCAGAGCTAACCCAAAGAGGAAAGGCCTGCCTCAGAAGGAGGGACTCACTCCTACCTCCTCCTGAAAGGTCTTCTAGTAGGGCCTGGATGAACAGTTTTGTTGGTAGTTGTAAGAAGAATTCCTTTTCAGAACGAGTTCAATCGATGGCCACCAAGGAGAAAGCATCCTCTCGAAAAAACCCCAGGGGCAAAAGCAAGTGAAAAGAATTCTAAAAACATGACTGTGATTAGACAGTCCTCTACCTGAATCAACTTCATTCATCCTTTGGATCTAAGCAGAAGCTACCAGGGTGCTCCCCCAGGAACCTGGTATTCACTCCATTTGTGAGGGGTTGCTAGAACTGAGTATCTAGAACACAATTAGCTCCATAGGTATCATTAATTTAGAAGCATGGAAACATCTCAACCTTCCCATTGTGCTAAGCCTCAGAAAAAAAGAAGAATGCACAGAAATGCCTCAGGCACTCGAGTTATGTATCTTCCTAGAACAGAAAACAGTAAAACACATGACAGAAATGAAGTAGTTCCTGGAAAGTTGGCTAAGGATGCTATAAGCTCCATTAGTAAGTGCACATCTGGATACTATATCCTGACTAAATATTAAACCACTAACGGAAATTTCCACAAAATGCCTTTTATATCATAAAAACAAGGTAACCTGTTGCTCTAAAAATGAAAAGAGGCAAATACAGCTTATACCTCGTTAGCACTTTTCAAAATCCATTGTGTCTCCTGATGCTGGACAGAAATAAATCCCTGGGAAACAGGTAGTTCAAGTATCATTATTCCACCCCACTGATGAGGATGTCACACGTTCAGAAAGGTCACCCAGCTAGTGAATGGCAGGGCTGGCACCTGAACCATGGTCTTCTAATTCCAATTCCAGAAAACCTCATGGTAATGTCTCTTTCAAAAATCTACATTTGGTCATATTTTTCTTAAAGTGTTTTCTTTTCAGGAAAAATAAAAGAAACAGAAAATTGCTAATTGTTCAGAGTTAGTCTATATGTCCAACCTCAACACAAGCACCACATTCATTTCTGTTACCTTCATAACTGCTATGTATCGTCAAACTGATGATGTGGAGACACTGCTAAAATGGCGAAACAGATGTAGTGATCTGTAGACTCCGTAGAGCCTTCACGACAATTTTACTGGATCTCTTCAGACAAATCACAAAAATCACAGACCTTTAGGGTTGGGACAAGTTCCGAGGCCAATCGGCCCAACTCATATTTAAATGTACATAAACCCCAGAAGGCACTTTGTTCTAAATGTTACCTGGCAAAACTGGCACTCTAGACATTTAAACAGATAAAAATCAGTGATAGCAATCTGACTAGTGAATAATACTCCAAAGCTTCCCATTTCTTACCAGGTTTCTAACCAACGTGCTATAGGTTCACATGGGGTCAAGTCTTTGGTTATGTTTTTCCAAATGAAAGTTTTGGCAAAGACACTGGGCACCATCCTAAGGACGAAGACCTACAAAAAACAATTTCCTGGATACATTCCCTTTCCTACCCTGTACTCCCAACTCCCCTCTCACCTCATCCCTCACAAAACGAAGCCCTGATTTCAGTGGCTAGAGTTAAACAAGAACAGTTAGCATGATTCTTTGAATCACTGGCCAGCTGCTATGTGGGGCCTCTTTTTCCTATCCAGTCTACTCATGAGTTCTTTTTTTTTTTTTTGGATAGGTCAGTGGTAAGCTGTCAGAAACACTTAAAAATACTCTAAGCATATTTTATGATGTTCGGAGGCTATCATGCCCATTACTAATTAAAAGCGACAAACCACTTGAAAATATCACCTTTTAAAAAACCTACAAAGACCGGTTTCCCCAGACAAATGTAAATATTGACATCAGACAACATATTTCAGACAAATTAAGAGAAAAGGTCTCCTTAGGTACTGACAATCCACAATTTCAAACTGGTGATATAAAGATTTATCTCTTAAATGTTGGAGGATATTACGAGGAAAAGGAAAGATAGGAAAAATAATACTCTTTGAAATATCTTATTTCCTTGACAGCAGTGAGCCTGGGACCAAAAGGTAAAGCAGTTAGGAAACAGCTGGGCCAAGTTTAAGGCTCAGCCCTAACTAACGGGTCCTTTCGTGGCTAATTTCTATTTTGACAGGCGGCAGCCTGCTGCTAACCTCTCCCCCAAGTCCACTTTCCTCTCCTCTGCAAATCACCAGCCTGAGTCACTTTCGCCAAGCCTCCCCATCACTTCACAAAATCCGACACCAAAAAGCTGACAAGGACTTCTTATTATATAACTGTCTCCAACTCTTTTTTTTCTTTTTCTTTCTAAACTCCCTCAAATAAAGACTTCCATGTCTCCCAATTTTGTGGAGAATGGCAGGAACTATACACCAAGAAGGCTAGTTTTTTCTCTGCTTCAAACATACCCCCCACAAAATCACTTTTACTGAACACCCAAAAAGCATTTATTTTCCATTACTCAGTAAAAGCATATTAAAATCTTCTTTCCTGCTGTTCTAATCTAAAAGGAATTTAGTCATGCAAGTGACTAAATTCTGTGGGAAGCTGGTAACTGCTGCAAGCAACTTATTTCATTTTTCAAATATCCCCCATCAGTATTATATACATTTTTGGTTTCAGTCCAGACCTGTGATTTTAGCTCCTACTGGATAAACTTTCTTCCTTGAGGCAGATCTTGGTCTGAGTTGCCTACAGGCATTGAAGGGTTAAAAGGCTTATTCCCTGGCCATAAACAGTTAGTATGTGTCAATGGTATAGCTTGAAGCCAGGTCTTCCAGAACCAAGAGTTGGCCCTCTATCCACCACAATCTTGCTACCTTTCAAAATCACCCCCACTATTAGAAAGTACTTCTATACATTCTTAAAGGGAAATACATTCATTATGGCTTGGAATCGTCACTGAAGTCTCTTCCAGTTCTTAAATTCTATGAACTAGTTAGATACTTGGCAATGTTTTTATGTCAATGCTTTCCCAAAGAAATGACATGTCATTGTCATCTGCTACCTTGCACACACACCCACACTTGGCATTTTTTTAAAAATGTATGACAGTTGGTAACACCAGTTTTCTAAAAACTTCTGAGGACAGAGCTGGATCCAAGGCCTTCAGAAGGATGAATCTCTTTTCAGCTTTCTTTAATGTGGATTACTGAAGAGATTTCGATTTTAAGACAGGGAAGAACGTTTAAGTACAAGGACCATCCCCAAGTTGGGCATCATTAAGTAGATTATTAGATTCCTTACTTTCAGCATTTAAAAAGCTATATTTAAAATAGAGTTGCCCTATTAACTCAATTTTAGATATTAGACCTAATTAAAAAAAAACCCTACAGGGGGAAGGTGAGGCAGAACCTTCACACTAGAAGTTCTATATTCTGACATGTATATGAGCAAAGAATCCAACTCATAAAGGCATGTGCAGCAGCACAATTTGAATTAGACCTCCAGCTTCTACTGACTAACGAATGCATCCCTCTATATGTTCTGTTCTGTTCTTTTCCTACTCTTCCAGGTCAAAGCTACTTCAATTACTCTTTCATATGACACACATCAGGTAGCTAGGTAATGCAATGGATAGAGCAACAGGCCTGGAGTCAGGAAAACCTGAGTTCAAATCTGGCCTAAGATACTGTGTGACCCTGGGCAAGTCACTTAATCCTGTTTGCCTCAGTTTACTCCTCTGTAAAATGAGTGGGAAGAGGAAATGGCAAAACATTCCAGTATCTTTGCCAAGAAAACACCAAACGGGGTTACAGAGTCAGACATGACTGAACAACTCCAACAGACATGGGGTGAGGATGAGGGAGGGAAGGGAAAAAGGAGAAGGCCACTGATGTTAAAAACTTAGATTTTTAAATTAAATTAAAAACTCTGATTTTTAAAAAAAGGAATAATATACCTAGACACAGCTCATTATGGTGGACAGAGAACTGAGCTTTGAAACAGGAAGAACTGTCTCCCTCTCTCACACACTTCCTAGCTGCCCCCTCCCACACATACTTTCTAGCAGTGTGACACAGGACAATTTACATTCTGTGGGCCTCAGCCAACCCCCAATCTAAATCACAGAGAGTAGCAATCTAAATTATAGAGGAATTCCCAAAGGAGGAGTCTCCACCTTGCCCCAACACCTGAAGACACCCCATCCTGGTATGGGAGAATGAATGGAGTTTGAGGACCCCGGTTCAAGTACAGCCTCTGCTGCTACTCCTTCCCAACAACTGGGCCAGTCATCAGATTTCCAGAAGCCAGAGTGTCCGCTGCTATGAGAGGGTGGGATCAGATGGCCTCGGAGGTCACAACAGCAATTTTTATTTCAAGACCTTTCCAATTTAACAAGCCAGATTTGCTCTACCAATCCTCCAAAACTAACTGATGGTCAAAGTTTGTCTACCATTTTCTTTAGCCTACAGAAAGCCTGTTAGCCAAACTTAATCCTCTAGAGAGGTAAGGTCCCATCTATAACCCATGGCCTTAGTCTGTACTCAGTACAATTTAAGACTTGGAAACTGTTTTTAAAAGTGATTTGGGTTTCATCCTTTACCCCTCCCCTTACAATTTTTTCAAGGAAGTAACATTTCACATCACATGGGCCCACAGCTTTCTAGAAATAAAAAACACATTCAGTAGATGAGATGGTCTTCCCCCTTTTCTTACCCTACAACAAACTACTGTAGTTTCAAATTGGACAAATTTATTAACTGCCCCTCACTATAATCAAATGCTGAACCCAAAACTCAGGACTTTCTCACCCTGGTTTTGTTTCCAGTCTTAAGAATTGAAGGCAACATTCCAACTCAATTTATGATCCTACGAACCCCACCCACTTCTCCACCAAAGTACTTCCATCTATCCTCAGGCCTGGATAAAAACACTTTCAGATTAAGTCATGACTTAAGTCAGGTCTCTTCCCATATCAGCCTAGAGAGCTCATTACTTCATTCAATGCATAACACCAAACTAAAGAAAAACACAAACTGGACTTTTGGGTTTGCATATTTTTTAAAAATGGTATTTGTATTAAAAGTCTTTAAATGAACAGACAACCATTAGACGCATGTCTGGAATTAAAATTACAATTAGTTAGAATCTGCTTGGTACATCACAACATTAAAATTTTGCTCTTGGCTGGAAGAATATTCTACAACCAAAAAAAAAAAAACAGGGAGGGAGGGAAAAGGGCACTAAATACCTGAAAATTTAAATTTAAATTAAGTGAAGCCAGGAGTACTTGCAAGATGTGGAAATTATATGTAAAAGGCTCCAACAGAAATCAAAATAAATTCCATGAACAACAGGCCATTCTGTCCTGGCTTGTTGTGTAAGATTACCGAGAGGAAACTGTTAAGTACTTTGGGGAGTCATAGCAGATGATGGGATTTTGTGGAACTTTCACAGGTTGGCACGGCTGGAACAGCTGAGTTTTGAAGGCACTCTAGACACAGGGTCGCTGTTGCCCCTGAATCACATTTGAGGAAGTCTTTGTACTGTACTTTAAAGATCTGGTCATCAAAATCAGTTATTGCCAACCAAAAGGAAACCCTAAACCCAAACAAAACAAAATTAACAAAGCACCCTACCAAAAAAAATGTGCAGATTTGTAATTTTTCACAGCTGATAAAAAAAACACACTACCGCTCTCCCCCAGACTCCCATTTGATACAGTAGGTAAACAAAATAGATTTTTTTTTTCCACAAATATCAGCAGACACTTTCTGGCACTCCACACTGCATTGGCACCAGTGTAAACAGTCCAAGTTCAGTTGTGCAATACTTCAGATTGGATACACTGTAACAAGAATCCAACTTTGCATAGAAATCCTCAGAATCCTAATCAGTCCCAGGGTTGCACTTCCAGGCTGCCAGAGAAGGCAGTTAACCCTCACTTCCAGCACGCACACACACACACACATGCCTGGAAACGGGGTCTCTTCCTTTCCTCTCATTTCTTCACAGGCTTTTCCTGCACTTCCTTCTCCGGTTCAGGTACTTAAATCTTCCATTTGGAAAGTGGTTGTTGACATGCCTTTTTCTCTCCCATCCTCCTCCTGCTCCCATCCCTTCCCTCCAGATTGAAACTTTTTTTTTTTTGCCTGGTGTCAAGTTGCCAATACAGCTCTCTAACGGCTGCTTTAAGTGGGAAAACAGGCAACTATCAAAGAAATCCACGAGAGGAATGCACATGCTTGGAAAGCGCCACATTTCTACCCAGGTTTCAGATGTTAAACACAAGACAACTCCCCCCCACCCCCATGACACTGAGCACTGGGGCTTGTCAGCTGCTGTGGAAATAGCCCCACCTGGAACACACCTTGTACGATTGCAAAGTTGTTTCCAATCTTAAAATAATAATTAAAAAAAATCACATTGAGAAAGAAATATTGTGTTTTGCTTTCGCTTTTTCTTAAAAAAAGAAACCAGTAAAAATTCAAGCCAAAGCACAAGCCCGACGGAAGAAGCTCCCCCCACCCCTGGTTTTCAGAGAATCACGCAGGAGGAGCAGCACTGGTCGTCACCGTTGGGCTGAGCCGCATAGTTCATCTGGCGGACGATCTCTGCGAACAGCTCGTCCACCGAGGCTTTGTTTTTGGCCGACGTCTCGAGGAAGGGGCAGCTCCACTCCTCCGCCAGGGCCTTGCCCTCCCCAAACGAGACCTCGCGCTCGCCCTCCAGGTCCACCTTGTTGCCCACCAGGATCATTGGCACCCGCTCGTACCTCTTGACGCGGATGATCTGGTCGCGCATGGGCTTAATGTCCTGGAAACTCTGTTGGTTGACCAGGCTGTAGACGAGAATGAAACCCTGGCCGTTCTTGATGTACAGGTCCCGCATGGACGCGAACTGCTCGGTGCCCGCCGTGTCCAAGATCTCCAGCACCGACGGCGACGAGTCCACCTCGATCTCCTTGCGGTAGAAGTCCTCGATGGTGGGGTCGTACTTCTCGATGAAAGAGCCCGTCACGAACTGCACGGTGAGGGCCGACTTGCCCACTCCGCCCGAGCCCAGCACCACCACTTTGTACTCTCGCATGGCTTCTTAACCCCCCCCCCCTCCCCGAGAGTCTCTCCCGCTCTCGGCCTCCCTCCGGCCTGGGCCCCCCGGGGGGCGTGGGGGCAGAGGGGTAAGGAGTCGGGCCGGCACAAAGCTTAGGTCGGCTCCTGCTCGGTGCCCTTCTCCTAGTGCCCAGCGGGGGAGGAGAGAATAGGGAAAGAGAAAGCAAAGAACCCCCAAAGAGCTGGGGGTGGGTGCGGGTGGGGGGCGGTCACCCACCCCGGCGAGGCTTCACTCGGGCTCCGTGCCCTGCATTCAGGCGGCGGCGGCTGGGGCAAGGGTAGCAAGCGGCCAGCGGCGGCGGCGGAGGCAGCCTCAGGGACAATGCCCGGGCTGGCGAACGAGCGGGCGATCGGCCGGGCACGGACTTCGGTCGGGGCCGGGGCTGCTGCTGCTGTTGCTGCTGCGGTTGCTGCTGCGGCGGCGGCTGGGGCTGCTCTTCACCCGCGGCAGCAGCGTTGGGAGGAGGGGAGGCAGAGGCTCTGGCACTGGCGGCGGTGGCAGCAGAGGCAGGGACGGGTGCAGGCTGCGGAGGCGGCTGCTAATTGCGCCCCAGCCCCGAGCGCGTGGTGCATGAGTCCCCGTGGTGCCTGCCTCCTTCCTCCAGCAGCCCCACGGTCCGTACCTCCCTCCCCAGCAGCCCTGGGAGTGCTCGAGCTTCCTACTTACAGCCCCAAACCTGCCCTGCCTTAGTGAGCATGCCCAGTGAGGGGGCGCTGAGTCGTGGCGAGGCTGCCGAGGGGAGGATTCCGCTTTTCCGGGTTTTCCTAGAGGGCCGGGGCAGGGGCGGAGCCTAGAGAGCAGCGGGCTCTGGGCTGGGACTGGGTCTCTAAAGATGGAAGGGGGGCGGAGAGGGTGCCAGGGTTGAGCGCACCGGCCTTGGGAAGGGCATATCCAGGATAGGGACTGTTTCATTTATGAGGCCACGAAAGAGATGCCAACTTAACACCGGTCAGGCAGACGGAGGGGTGACTGACAAGTGACCGGGGGACGTGCTAGAGGTCAACTTTATTGAGGGAGAACCGGGCTCCGGGTGCTCTTCCTCCCCACTTATGTGTGCAGGGATGCTCTCGGGGTAAAATCATTCGTTTATGAGTCCTCCCTTTTGGGAGGAGGCTGGGTGTGCGTCTGGAGGTGGGCAGGCTCGGGCTCGGAGAGGGTGCCATTCTCTGGGCTTGTGCTCCACAAGCGCGGTATCGACGCGGGGCACTCCACATATATTGAATGTATCTTGATGCCGGCCACTACTAGTGCCTCCTCTCTCAAATATCACCTCGTTCTCTTTTGTAACGACTTTTTTGAAGGTACACCCTGTCTTTCCCCCAGGGTGTAAGCTCCCTGAGGAGTTCCTTGTTTTGTTGGTCTGACTTTGCAGCCCCAACTGGCATATAGGAGTCGCTTAATAAATATTTGTTGATTGGCTATACTAACCTTTATCTGTAGCTAGAGTTTGCAAAGAGCTTAAAAACTGGCCACGCGCTCAACGGTCGAAAGAAGGCTGAACTGGAATTTGGAGGACCTGGGTTCTTACCCTGGCTTGGCCACTTGTTATCCTACTTCCTTTCCTCTTTCGGCGTTTCGTTTTCCGCCTCCCTAACGTAGGGTAGGAACCTGAAAGGGTGCAGAAGACAGCGTGGCGCAGCGACGGGGGCTGCAGGACTCGGGTTCAAATCTCTCCTCTGATGCTTACTACAGGTGTAAGTCAGTTTGCCTTTCTCCGCCTGTTTCCTCCACTATAAAGTGAGGTAGGACTAGAAATGCCTGCGAGCTGGGTAGGGCCAGCGTTTTTATTTATTTTCATTCCCACAGGTGGATAGAGCTCCAATCCATGATGGGTGCCAGTTTAACGATGCCTGTTTATTCTGAGCTGGCAGGGATCACGAGAGGTGCTCCCCACACTTCAAGCCCGCGCGTGCTCTGCTCTTCCTCCACCGCCCTCCTCCATTCCCCTTAGGAAGCTAAACAAATTGTATTTGCAACCCTAAGTAAGGTTCTAGGCATTAGCCTGGAACCCCGAGTTTTCTGATTCTGCAATGAGGAGGAAGGATGCTTGGGGACGGAAATGGGGGGGGGGAAGCGTAGCATGATGTGGGTTGGCCGCCTACAGAAAGTACATCTAAGGCTGAGTCCCAAGCCCGTCCACTTCTGCCGGCCCGCGCCCCCTGACCCTTGCCGGGGCACAGTGGGGGGGGGGTGCAAGCCCAGGACCCACACTCCAACCAGCCAAGGCAGGATCTCCGCGGCTGATACAGGCTCCTCGGTCTCTGGGGGTCGCCCACGGAGCCCGACCTTCCCTTTCCAGCCGGGACCAACTGCAGAACTTGGGGCGCAGGATTTCTGCAGGATCCTGGGTCCCTCCCTCCAGACCTTCCTTCTGGGCTGTGTAGAAAACCCGGCCAACCTAGCAGAGCCCGTCGGAACTGCTCCACGAGGCTGGCAGGAGGTAGGGAAGAGAGCTGGGCATGCTCAGTACGGGCGGCAGCTGGCCGGGGAGGGAAGGGAATGGGGGGGACCGAAGAGGAGGGCGGGGGTTAGAAGTAGGACGCTTTCACTGGATACACCCACCCTGGGGCTCAAATTACCTCCTCTCAAACTCGGGGCCCATTGGTCCGCGGGCGCAATGCTCCTCTCCTCGGAGCCCCCAGGTATCCTCTCATTGGCTGCTGCTAAGGTCCTGTCGGACACCAGGGCCTCATTGGCAGAAAAGTATCCCTCATTTGTGATTGGTTATCAATAGAGATTAAGTGGAGAGCGGAGGCCCAGCTGTTTCTCCGCGGTGTCTCCCGTCCCTTCCCTTTCCCCTCCCCCCTGCTTCCCCCTGCTTCCCCCTGCTCCCCCCTGCCCCAAAACAGCTGTTTAGGGAGAAGAAAGTCGGACAGGCTGTAGCTTGTACATCAAGCGGTGCTGATCCTAGAGCCCCAAGTTCCGCACTTCTTTAGGCTGAACCAGGGTGGGCACAGCTTGCCAGTCCCTTCCCCGGCTGCAGCGGGCCCGGGAGGGGAATGCCAGCGGAGAATCCTCGTCTGGCCTGGGAAGGGAGAGGCTAACACCACACCTAGTCCTGCCCCCAAAGGAAAGGGGGCGGGGCGGGGGATCGAGAAAGGCTCGGCCTGGAAGCCAGTCATGGGGAGGAGAGGGAGAAATGCCCAGACCTGCTTCGAAGTCTCCCTGATTAGGGGGTGGGAGTTTTGGCTCCCTCATACTCATTGGGAGGTAAAGGGGAGCTGCCTCGGCTTGTCCCGATCCTCCCTTATTTCTCGAGGAGGAGAGATGTCAAGACCTGCCTTCAGATTTTAGAATTAGCAAGTGGTGGGCGGGGGAGGAGTTGATGGGTCCGGGGTGGTTGGGAGCAGTCAGAAAGACCCCAGCCGGCCAATAAATAAAGGCACCAAGTTAGGGAGTGGCAATAACTTCCGACGGTCCGACCTTCAGGAGGCACAGGAGTCGGTTAGCTCACAGTTAAGTGGGAGGCTGACACAGGAGTTCTGTTCACTGTTCCACGCAGGGTTCATCGGGAGATCCCTAGTGGCCCAAAGCCTCGGGATTGTGCCCAGGCTTTTAAACGGCTGAAGCACAAACTCTAAGCCGAGTCGACTTTTTTTTTTCTTTTGTTCCCCAACTGAAATTCTTTGAGCACATGGTTCAGATTGCTCAGTCAGGGGCGGTAGCTTGCTCTTGGCTCCCCGGAAGGCCTCGTCTTGAGGTGAGGAAGGTGTGGCCCACACCACACCCTCCGGAAGGCCCTGCCTCTGCATTTGGCTACGAAGGGGTTAGACCGGACCATGACTTGTGAAGTTCTTTGAAACAGGTCACAGGATGCTGAATTTAGGGCTGGAAAAGGCCTTGGAGTTCATCTAGTCCAAATGCTTCATTTTAGAGATGAGGAAATGAGGTGCAAAAAGGTAAATGACTTACCGAAGGTCACACAGCTAGTGAAATCAGGGTTGGAGCCCAAGGTCATTGGGTTCTAGAGGTAAGAGGTGATAATACTTCCACTATAGGCAGGAAGAGTTTAAAAAAATACCTACAGAAAGCTTTCCCACATTACATAGTTTGTAAATATGTGTATTGTATGTGTATGTGTGTATATATATGTATATGTGTGTGTGTATTTTATATGACTATTATTTTACAATTATGTCCTTTTTAAATCTCAAGGAATCTTCATAAAGAGCTCTCTAATGCTACCTGGTAGGCTCGAGGCCACCCTTTTAGGACTGTCCCTGGCCCTTGCATTCCATGAAGCACCATGACATGGAAGTAGCCTCCTGGCTCCTACTATGAGGGGATCAGGGAAGTACCAAGTAGGCATGGACAACCCCAGACTGATAAAGAAGATTAGGTTTAAAGCTCAAAACAAAAGAAACCTTAGATATCCTCTCATCAATCCCTCCCCTCCATATTACAGATGAGGAAAAAAAGAAATGTGGGAGGGGGGAGCAAGTCGGATTGCCACGTTCCAGGTAACACCATTAGTAAAAAGCAAAGTTGTTGTTTCCAAATCCAGTTCATTTTCTCTCACAGCAGACTCCTCTGGAGACAGCCTAGCACTTAACACAATTCCTGGTTCTTACTAAGTATTGGTTGACATAATCCTCTGGGAATTCTCCACATCCTGCCCAAATTCTTGGGAACACCCACTGCTTCAGTGGCAGAGTCCCAGAGCTAGGACCCAGCATTTAGGTTCAAGGTGTTCCAGTTGGTGAAAGTTGTTAGTGTGGGTTCTTTCATAAAACTAGTAATAGCTGATAACCACATAATATTTTAGGGCTTTTCTAGTGCTTTCACATTTAATTAATTCTTACAATAACCCTGTGAGAAAGATGCTCACACCCTCTCCATTGTATAAGGGGGTGTGGGGGATTGAAGCACCAAGTGGTTATTTCACCTGTCTACCATACCTAGTAAGTGTCTGAGGCAGGATTCAAACACATCTTTTTGCACTTTGTCACCTCTATGATCAGCTACACCCACATTGAAAAAGGTGCTTGGCCAAAGCTTCAAGGATGTGAGAAAATAAAAATAAAGCCTCAGAACCCACCATTTCACAGATAGTAAAGGTGAAGAACCACATTTTTGGGTTCCTTTCTCCAAACTATAAAATGGGTCATATTTAAGGTGGGGGGGGGGAGTTTACAACACTTGGTGAAACTTCAGTGATTTCTGAATCATTCTTGTAAAAGTTTATTATAGTATCAATGCTGGAAGTCCAGAAAGCTCAGAGCCATAGAGGTAGGTGCTTATCCTGGAATAATCCATGAGTATTCTGAGGTGGAAATAACCAGTCAATAGCACCCTTGGGAAAGATGCCAAAGAAATCCAGGTAATAAAATGCTTCTCTGAAAATGGTTTAACATCTGTAGATAGCCCAAAAGGGGAAATATCTCCTGAAAAACAGACCAAAGCTAAGGGCAACCTGAAAGGACTGTTTGACCTTCAGGGAAAAGCTGTATCAACTCAGGATTCTGTCCCTGACCTCTGTCACCCTTCTCATCAAAGAAAACAGTACTAATGAACTTCTGATATGATACTGAGGTTAGACCTTCAGATAACTGCAGGGTGGTTCGTCCTAACCTGAGTGATTGTTCACTCATTGAACTGATATCCAGTCCTGAAATCTCAGAATAATATGTAACCTCCTCTCTTCCTCTACTCTAAACAGTTTGGTGTATCTATATCTATATCTATGTCTATATCTATCTTTATGTATATATATATATTGTTGGTGCCACCTATGGGTAAAAATAGAGACTTGAACACAATGTGGCTGATTTAGAAAATACAGAGGAAAGGTGAATATTGTGCACTTTGAATTACTTTAAGGTTATCAAATAGTAGCCATTATTTTCCCCATTTTACAGATTTGTAAACGAAGACTTGGCTAGTTTAATTGACTTGCCTATAGTTATGCAGTAAGTAGTAGGGGCAGGATTTGAGCACAGATCTTCTGGACTCCAGTGTAGCATATACACTTTCATGCTTTAATAATTGTCACCTTCTTAGGATAAAATTGAAAGTCAAATAGAACTGCCTACAAGATGGAGCAGATTTCTTATCAGCTGTCTTTTGTAATGACATCAAATATTCTTTAAAAGTCCATGAGAAATGACAAAGATTTCAAAAATAAGCCTTTATTAGAAACATGAGAGACTAGTGATATTTCTAAGAAATAACTAGTCACCTGGAAAGTACAATGCCCATAATATGCTTTTAAAGATTATGAGTCAGTCTCCCATTCAAATCTCACCTTGCTTGGTCTCTCTTCTAGAGAGGATAATTGAGACAGATGGCTATGTAGTAGAAATGGCCAGGTTTTAGAGTTCCCCTCATACTTGTCTGGAATTTCACTGGGGATGTTGGGAGGGTGGCTACCAGTTACTTGGAAATGTGGGTACCTAATGTGACCATTATTTGGGCTAGGTTGTATCAAATATTTCTGCCTGAAAGAACCTGGAAAGAGTCTCTCAGGATCTTGGGGACTTTTCCAAGAAACTGGAAGATTTGGGAGGGGTGTGTGTGTGTTGTTGGGGGGGGAGGGTAAGTTCAGGTGCTATTTTTATCACTGTGGCTCTTGAAGGCAGAAAACTTCAGAACGCATGGGAGAATATAGGAGGTGAAAAGGTGCTGAAGAAGATGATGTCTGAGAAATGATGGCTTGGTAGACATGGATGATACATGATTAGGAGGAGAGGAGAGAATCAGAGGTGTGAAAAAGGGAGATCAAACAGCCCCATAATCTGGGGGATGGGGATTTGGGAAGGGTCAAACAGCCATCTGTAGTTCAATGTCCCCAAAGGCTGGGACTCTCTTGCACTAAAAGGGCAGCCAGAAAAAGAGAGAGAGACAAAGCAGAGAGACAGGCAGAGTGAAACACAGAGACAGAAAGAACAAGAGAAAGAGACAGAGAGAGAGAGAGAGGGAGAGGCAGGCACAGAAATGGTAACATTTTAAGGTGATGGAATTTTCCATTGGCTGAAGTTTTTGTTTCATGGGAGTTTAAAGTATTAATGTTTTCAAGAACAGTCAACTTCACTATTGTCCTATCAAAAAGCATTTATTAAGTGTGGGCTCTGTGTCAGACCCTGTGCCAGATACAAATAAAAAACCAAAGTGGTCCTTTCCATCAAGGGGCTTCTACTCTTGAATCTGTAGACATTCTTTACATGGTAAGTTGCTGGCGTAGATATTCATAAGCATCACTAAATTTTATCAGTTTCACTAGAATTATGTCATTGATGAAGATATAGCCAATATTCAGAATCCAATCCTCAGAAGAGCCCACAGATGCTGGTATAGCCTCAAGCCTTGTTGACCAATTTTACCAGCTGTATCTAACTTTTGAAAGCCATATTTCATTTTGAAACACCAAAGTTTTCTTTCAGCAGAAATGCACAGCTTAGTGGCTAGCCATTTAGTCACATAACCCTTTACCTTTTTGGTGAG